TATATAAACATTTTTTTCCATACATGCTTTCCTTTCCACCTATAACTTTGAAGGCGGTTTCCACGATTGCCATTTGTAGGTAATAGAGTTCAAAAAATGGGACTGTAGTATTCTAGTTATTGACTCACCAATTTGACCCATAAACACCCAATAAGCCTATGCCGGGCAACGTAGCCCGTCACTGTTAAAGGGAAGGAGCTGTTAACAGCAAGAGAGAACTCGTCCTCACGCCTTTTCTTCGCCATATGCACGTACAAGCGTGGTTCAGCCATGGAGTTTTATATGAGGAATTTGAAGGGGTTTTGGTGTTTTTCTTTACCTTTATATTATTTACCATGTTGTTATTCGATTTGAGTCGTAGAAACCACCATTTTTTTCAAACGTGAGGCGTGCCTATAATTTTTACGTTCAGGTATCAACAAGCCAGCCCGTCTCCTCGTGGCCGTGGAGGCGCTCAATGGGGCGGTCGTGGGGGTGGGCCAGGCGGTGTGTCACCGTTCCAAAAGAGAACCAGTCATATTGGCGAGGTATGATTTGCTTTATTTTGCAATTGCTTTGGTGTGAACTTCTTTGCTGATTTTATGGTTTTTTTTTCTCAGAACTCTCCGCGCATGGTTTCACCAACTGTGAACATCAACTTTGTGAGTCCTCCACCACGAATGAATCCTCCGCCAGTGAATAAGGTGGAACAAATGAGCAGTGACAGCAGCTCGAGCTCAAGCAGTGATGACGAAAGCCCGAAATGATCTCGTGACGTTCCTTCAGCGTTCATTTTTACGTCATTGCACTGTTTTGGACAGCAATTTTTGCGACTACGGCGTTCTTTACGGGTATGCGCTCCCATTTTACTCGCTTACCTCCGATTTCCAATCGTTGATTTATAGAAGATTTCTAATTTCTATTGAGCTGTTTCCGCTTCGTTCTTGTTTTCACAACTCTGCGCAGTTCGGCTTGGTGGCGGCATTTTGTTAGTTCTTATCAATGACTTCGAATCCCTCTTGTGAAAATGTGTCAATCCCCGTAAAGACATGCACTAGCAGAAGCTTCAGTTTCACTTGGCAGGAGTCTGCAGGTCCGAGCATGTATTCAGCTATTTAACAGAAACTAGCAAAAGGAATTAGAGAAAGTGCAAAATGCCCCTCCTAAGCCGATCAGCGCCCAGTTTTTCTCCACCTCATCTTCCGCTTATTTATGCAGATGTTTGAAGTAAATGTTCAATAAGCAGCCCTCTAGTTTGTTTAAGTTGTGATCATTCGTTGAGCTCCGTTGAACAGATGTTGCCGTAGTTTGATTCAGCTTGTTTTTTGTGGTGTTTATCGCCCCTCGAACGCATAGGTCCTTTAGACGTCATTACGGGTATGGTATGGAACTTTCGGACAACTGTTCAATGTGGTGAGTTTTCGTTGTGTATCGATTTCTGGAATCACATTGATTATTTTTCATTTCCTTCTTTTGGAACTATTTAGTAGTTTTTTGTTTCAGTTTCACGGACTTATTGCATGTTTCTCTTTAACGCCGATTGCTCGCCGCGCGATCGAATGGGCTATGTCAGTGGAGTGCTGGGTTTGGCTCGCGGCAACCCAGCTTTTACCAATATTACTGAAGCGGGTAAATGACAATAACTGGTGGAGAACGTGGTGGATACGTTTCTATGACACAGTGTTGTTGCTTGCCGAAGAGAAAAGAAAAAGCGGACTGGCGCTTACCGGCATAAACCCATCCAAAACTTGAGCCACCGCCTCTGAATCCGTAGCGAACAAAGCTGAATTCTCAAGGTCTCATCGATTTCATTGTTGTTGTTGATGTGGGCAATTTCGAATCAGTTTGGGTGGTGGTTGTTCTGGTTGCGTCTCTCCTTTTATACTGTTGAAGCGAATGGTTCCATACAGCTGGGCTGCACTTGGAGTTAGTGATATGGAGGTTTAGCAGCCGTGATGATCGATCCCTTATTCAAGCCGTGGCCACATGCATCACCTAACCCTGCTAAACGTCGGATTTCTTGGATGGCGCCAGTAGCACCCCCATACTAGAGGGTGCTCTGTGCTCGGGCGCACGGAACTTAATATCCTTCGTTCAGAGCTTTCACAAGGAAGTTTGACCATCGCCGGGAAGGTCGTCCAAGTGTTCATTTGACGTTGTGGAATCCATTTGGAACCGTTGTGGTCTAGCGGCCATATTCAGGGCGCACGACGTGCCCGAACCGCCTAATTTTTGAAACTTTGGCAAGTTTTTGCTGCGTTCCTCATACTCCACCGTTGACGGAGTTAGAAAATCCGGATTCCGCGTTGCACTCGCGTGTAGAGATAAGCTCCAGCACTGTCTTCCCCACGGCGCGCTTAATAACGCTGAAGCTGTGCTCATCTTGGTTTGTAGAGTCCAAGTACCTGAACTGAGCTAAACTGTTGATCATGTTGGGTTCCCGACACAGGTAGCCATACATAGCTGAAACATTCAGTAAGGTTCGTTCCTTTGAGCGACAATGGGGCATCAGAAACCAATCTGTTTTTCACGGACCGTGTCTTCGCTGTTTTCGGCGCAAGCCAATCTCTTCGGGCGCAGTTACTCAGGAAGCATTCGTTCCGCTTGCTCGATGTTTGGTGTTATCAAAACGATGTCGTCAGCAAAGCGGAGATGGTGTAGTTGCCGACCGTCGATCTTCACTCCCATGTCTTCCCATTCCAGTTGACGCATGACGTTCTCGAGAGAGGCGCTGAAGAGCTTGGGCGAGATGGTGTCGCCCTGTCGGACCCCTCTCTCACATCGATGATGATCTCCTTGTAGAATGGTGAGATCTTGGTCGTGAAGTTGCTGTAGAGCTCACGAAG